AGGGTGCTTCCCCATGTGCGGAAGCATGTCCGTGCCGACGGCAGCCTGGCAAGTGCAGGCGGCCTGTGGCGTAATGAAGCCTGCTGTCCTGGGGATCCCTAGGATGGGGTCAGTGAATTATCGTAGTTCTGGGTGAATTATAACGACCTCACGCGACCTCACCCCACATGGTGGTTTCTGTGGGGAATAGCCCTCCAACCACCTTATTTCAGGTAATTCACCCAGGTAGTTCCAGCAAGGCCGGAAATTGTCCATGGCCACTGTTCTCGGGTGATTGACCTGTGCATTTCAGTCGACTTGCATCGAAAGTTCCAGAAGAAACGATCCAACACACCACTGAACCCATCGCCCACCATGGGTGTGTCCTAAGATAGGATACCCGTGGAAATTGGCCAAGTTCCGTTTGTTCCTTCAGTTCAACGCCATTTAGTATTTCATTTAACCATGGACATGAATTTCCATTTATGCAATATATGTATTTTAGCCCACGTTGTACTTACCTTTTGTCTGCTATATATCTTACATACATATATATATATATATGTTCCATATATATATATATTATATGTATATCTTACGTATATACATATATATATATATACATATATATATATATTACATATATATATATATATATCTATATTCTTACATCTTGACTGGACGCCATACCGCTGAATACCCGATTTCAGCAAACACCCAACAGGCCCACCTTTGAGAAAAGTGTGCGGGGCATACGCTCGATACAAGGACCTCCCAAATGAATCAATATATGTTGTATATGCATATACATAGAACATATATGGATACACACAAGTATATACATTGATATGCATGTATTTAGTGGTTTTATTGGTTTGTTATTTGTTTGTGCATGTAGTTATTCATTTATTTAATTATTTATCTATTTATTATTCATTGTGTATGTGTGATGTTTGTTATGTTATTTTATATAGTTGTTTGTTGGTGTATTTTGTGTTTGCTTTTAAAAGTTTGTTTTACTATATAGTTGTGTGTTTGTTTATTTGGTTATGTTGTTTCTTAGTTGTTTATTTACAACATTTAATTTGTTGTTCATGTTTTATACTACTATGATGATGTCTATCAATATATATATAGATATATATGTATATATATGTGTGTATATATGTGTATATGTACACATGCCCCTAGGTGTTTCACTCGGTTGGGGGTTGCGGATCTCATATTTTCCTTCCGAACGGCAGGTTTCGAAGCCTCGAGATGTTCCGACTCCCGCATCTGCTCGGATCTGAGGAAACAAAAACAGTACAGGTCAGACCCGTAGTGGTCCCATCTAGGTGGCTCGTTTTGAGGGTACTTGCATGTTCGTGATAAAGGGACACCAACAGGAAACATTCCATGGCGGGTCCGATCCCTAGGCCCATACACCAGCCATATTGAGCCACTCTTACACCAGGAAAAAGGCTGGTAACTGTTCTGGATCTGGAGAAGGTCAGGGGAGCCATGGTGGCCCATGGTTCTTTTTTCGCCTACTGATAGTCCCTAGTAGTCACTAGCCATGATTAAGCTGCAATGGCTGGTTTTTTGCTCTAGCTCTGCATCAGATGGAGGTTCAACGGTTCCCTTTAAACAGAACTCCCCGGGCGTTTGACTGCGAACCAGGATGCCCTGGTTTTCTACTTTCTTAGGGCAGAGTTCCTTTGGACTACCCAAAACGGTACCAGAGGAACCCACCAGAGGATCCTTTTGGACCCTGTCAAGATATTTTATCACTTCAGTGTGCGTGCGGCTTTTCGGGTTTCAGATCCCGAAGCTGCGGTTCAATGTGTGGTAGCTTGTGGTCAAGTTCCATGGCGTTGTATGGATGAAGAGAACTCCGATTCTGCCCGTGGCTTCATCGGATATCAGGGTGATGACTACATGCGGTTGTTTGTCAAAATTGGGGGACTCACCAACCAACACCGTCAAAAAGCACACCCGTATAGGAATGGGTTGTTGGGGTCCCCCAAACATGTAAAGAAAAAAAAACACAATGCACGTAGGTGGAGTTTTTGCTGGCGCCCGCGGACAGGAAGATTTTAAAGGTAAATTATACCCCAACTGGTTGGCCGCCTTTTGCTTGTCATTTAAAACCAACCGAAAAGGGATTTATCTCAAATAGCGGCACAATTGCTGACCGCTGGCTTCAAAAACTCGGCCGGGAACAGACTGGCTGGTGAATTCATCATTTGTTTGTTCAGATACCACATGGCCGAAGGGTAATCTGCAAGAATCCTTGTCATTGCTGTCCTGCCGGATAGCCAACAATGCCAGAAACAACCAACTTTAGAGGCGCTTCCCTTTGAGGGAACGATTTGTGGGTGCCACACTAATTTGCAGGTGAGTCTTGCATCACTGAGGACATCAGTGCTTTGCATTTTCACCGCCCACGGCACCATCTGCTAAAACCGCCAGAAAACCACTTGGGCGTTCCCCTGAAAACAGGACACCCATGTGTCGCTTGTGGTTATCTTGCTGGATGAAGAAAGTTTTCTGCAACAGCTGCTCCACAGGCTCAGGATCCGTTAGCCCAGGGGCCAAAACAAGTTGCTCCGTTGTTGGCCGTTTTTCTGGTTGTGACACTTGGCTGCAACAGGTAGCACAGGACCCAGTCCAACATGTCCATGTCGCACATCAAAATCGACTCCTAACAATGTCGCCTTGCGCAGCAGTACTAACCTCTTGTGACCTCGGAGCGCACACCCAGTGGAACTTGGAGTGAAAAAGCAGGGCGTCCTTTTTGGTCTCCACTTCCAACGGCTTGCTGGGGTCATTATTCTGACCACTGGACGAAAGTTTAGCCTGCCACTTGGGGCTGATTTTGATAATTCCGTGGCCGCTACTACCTCAACTGACGTGGTGACCTGAAGATGTTCGTATCCCCTTTGAGGAACGGCTCTTGTCTTTCCGGGGCTTCACCTATCTTTTGCGGAGGTACTGCCAAAACGGGGGGGGGGTGGGCTTTCCTTTGTGGTTTCCCGCAAAGCACCAAACTGAACTTGGTGGCTCCCAGCCATCCGGTTCCTCAGCTTTTCAGATCTCATTAGTGTTTAGTGGTTGGTTTTCCGTATTTCGCCCACCAAAAGTTAGCCATTTTTAGCAGGGGATCGGAAAACGGACAGCCTAGTGAAAGGAAGTTTAGAAGGAACTTCCGTGTTATACCGCAACTAATTGAAAGCTAGCTCTCTGAGACAGGTGACAGGTGAAAGGACAGCCTAGTGAAATGACCCTCAGAAAGGCACCACAGCGATCAACTCCGCTGACCGCGCCGAGGCCCTCCTTCCAGGACTTCGAGCAGTCTGCGGCCTTGGCACAGGAGCGCTGTACCAGGTCCCCGGCTGGCCAACTGTGTTGCGATTCGCCTGGTCCAAAAGAGGGGCGGTGTTTTTTTTGACCCATGCCCATTCCTAGTCGGCGCGATGGAAGTGAGTCAGAGTCTGGCGCGGCCGCCAGGACCCGGCGGAGCGGAAGCAGGTCCTCACCGCGGCGCAGAGCTCCTTCGCGGAGGCGCGGGAAACTTCGCGCTGCATGCGCTGCATGCGATGCGCGAAGGTGTCTGGGTGCGGGGCGGGGAGTCGGGGGATGTGGTAGCGAGGCATCGCCGGAAAGAGCTGTTTTGGGGGGATTTGGATGGTCTTGTTGCTTGATACTGAGGGAACAAGTTGTTGGGTGTTGGATTGATTGTTTGTTTGATACTAAGGGAGCACTCCTGGGTTGAACCAGACCCGGAGAGTCTTCTTGTAGAGGAATGTGGTGGCCAGGAAACCCTTGGCTTGTGTTCCATGCGGTACACACCAAATTATACAGGGCACAAACATTGAGCAAATCTATTGGTTGAGTTCAGGAATCTTTGGCACCCTGAAAAGCCTCTCTTCAACACTAAATTGTACAAACAGTGAGCAAATCAACTGGTTGAGTCCGGGATTCTTCGTCACCCTCAAAAGCCTTTGTTCAATCGGAGGAATGCCCTTTTGGGTTGTGAGCGTAGGTGTTTCAACCATGGAATCAACGGTTAAATGGCCCTGCTCTACTTGAATGCTATTTGGTTGGATCATATTGGATCATAGGACTTGAACTTTTCGGAAAATGAGCATTGGAGTGGAATAGGGTCCAACACCCCAAAAAACGAAGGCGAGTCTTTTACACGAAGGCTGTTGATTCTGAGTGGTCTGCTCAGCCAATGTGTTTAACTTGACCAAGGGTTTTCCATTGAACCCACAAGTTCAAAAAACTGTTGAGGGGTCAACTTCCAGCAACCAGGAAAACTTCCAGGACTTGCATTCAAGCGTTTTCCATTCAACTTCCAGCAGCCAGGAAAACTTGGTTGAATTACCTTATACTCACTTCCTGAGTTGGACTTCAAACTTTTCGGGTTTGGACCCTTTTTCAATACAAAGTCCGGACCTTTTTTTTCGGCCAAACCACTCGTTCAGAAGTGGGTATAGCCCAGCCATCCGGTTCCTCAGCTTGTGAGCTTTTTTGGTGTTTAGTGTTTTTTCCAATTCAGCCCACTCAAAGTTATTCACTTTTCGCGGGGGATCTGAAAACGGACAGCCTAGTACAGTTACACCTTTGGACAGGTGAACCCCACCCGGCGAGAACCGAAAACCCACCCGCGACCCCGCGGGGAGTGCATCGAGGCGGCGCAGCTGCTGGAGAAGGCTCATGCCTTGAAGGACTCCTGGCCCGACGGGTTAAGGGACGATCCCCTTGCCATAAATAGCTGCGGATATCCACCTTAGTTCTTGAAGCATGGTTCTGGGTCGACCATTTGTGTAGCGGGTTTTGATTGACTCACCTTGGATGTGGGTAGGTCACCCATGGTTATGGCTCACTCCCTCAGGGCCTAGAAAACAAGAACTTGAGTTGGACCATTTTGGTGGTAAACCAGAAGTTCAGACTCTTCCTGGCCAATACACTCAGGAAGTGAGTTATGAGGGGAGTTGGGATCAGTTACCCAAGTTACAACCATGGTAACCTACTTGAGTTGGTTGGATGTCCAAGTATTTGTTTAAAGCGTAGCCTTGCCAGGTGGGTGAAAATGGAAGTGACTATTTTGGGGGGGGCCTCCCTATCTTGACAGTTTGAAGAGCATGCCTCAGTAGCAATGGAGGCCACACCCGGCTAAAAGCATTGAGTAGGGTGTAATTTGCATGTGCAACCAGCCCCTGCTTGGATTTTCAACCAATTGTGTGGGTTATGTCCATGGTGAAAACTTGGTTAGCTGGGGTTATAGTCCATTGTAACCATGGTTTTGACCTAGTTGTCATGTGGGTTGAATGTCCAAGTGGTCCCCTGAGATCTTGAAAGGGAAGCCAAGAGGAGTTGTTTTTTTAAACAACAGTTGCTCTTGTTTAAGGGGCTAGCTCAACCCTGGCTTGCAAGGGGGGTTCGACACAACCCCCCCGGCCAAACGTTTTGGTGTGTGTTTGGCTAACATAGTACATTTGCAGCTCGTTTCCATGGAACTGGCGCAAACACTTGTAATTAGGTTGCGGGCGGGTTGTTGGACCTGTCCGTTGTTCTATGTGCAAAGGTTTGTATTTCCGAAGAAAACCCAACTCGAAAGCATTTGAACAAAAGTTGGCCCGCCCAACACCTGGAGTGGGTCCCATGTCCCCCTAAATACCGAAGATTACGGACGGCTTTTTGACTCTCGCGGAACAAGGACGCCGCTCTTTTCTTTGAGGCCAAGGTGGTTCCCTCTGGACAACCCTTTGGACATGTGACTCAACTGCTATTGCTAGCTTTCCTTAGGCTTTTTAGCATGGCTCTGTCATGGTTGTCGTTGGGAAACATTTTACATTTTTGATTATTGTGGTTTAGTGGTTGAAATCCCCACTTAACTGCCACCATTTTAATTGTTACTCCCCTTCCAACGTCAATCAAACTGTCCCTGGAAACCTTTTCAAAACGTGGTGTTAGCACCGAATTGCACCCACAGGCTTTGTTCTGCCGGCCGAGGACACTCCTGCAGGTCAATGCACATTCCCTTATTGCCCCGCTGAAGGGGATTCTAGATCCTTCTCAAAATCGGGTAAGCCCAAAATGCTGTTTTGCTTTTCCCTTCTTGCCCCGCTCAGGGGGCTTTTGGAAATGCTTTGTTTCTTTTTGGTGTGCAAATCTAAACCCTGCCGACTGGAAGAAAACAAACCAACAATTTGTTGCCACTAAACCCTGCCAACTTGCAGGCCAACTGGCCTGTTAAGAAGAAAACCAAAACCCAAGAAACAAAAACAAAAGCCAAAAACCAAAAAACGGGGGGTGGGAAAAACACAAGAGCCGTCCTTGCTGCCTGTAGCAGCCGCGTCTCGCTCGCGTCAGGAGGACTTGGGCGAGCAGCCCAAGTCCCTGAAGCGAGTGGTGGCCTGGGGCCCGTGGAGCTCTGCAGGATGGGTATGAACCAAAAACCTCCTGTGGTGGTTGAATTTGCAAAAATACCCAAATGAATATGCTATATTTCCCCTGTTGGTTTAAATGAGAATCTATCACTACTGGACAAGGGGGCTTAAGCAAATGGTTGGTGTTGAAAGGGTCAAAATTAAGCCACCAGGAATCGGACCGCGGGTTTTGGTCCATGTCTCCACTTACCAGGGCAAGCCATTGTAGGTACCTATTTTTGACCCACACCCAGATGGAGTCTCCAACGGTGATTTGAGAAGACTTTTGGGGATAGTGCAATGGGGGGGAGGAGGGGAGAGGGGAGGGGAGGGGAGAGAGGGGAGGGGAGGGGAGAGGGGAGGGAGGGAGGGAGGGAGGGTTCATCTTGTGATCAAGCGTACTATTTGTCAGTAGGCAAAAGCGTTTTGGTCAGTGAGGTCTGGAACCAGAATTGTCCTTTTCAGGCGCAAAGTCACCCAGAGTGGGAATACCCCCTGCAGAGGTAGGAGGATGGTCGCAACCCAAGCCTTGCAGTTGGGTGTCGTCCAAGGAAGGGGTTTTGACAGATCTCAGGCAAAATGGGGAACACAAGCTTCTTTGAACATCTTTGAGCTTCCTTGTGGCAATCTGGTTGCTCTTGGGTGTTGACCAAACTGTTTATGTCGAAACCTTTTCAAGGTCAAAGAGAAGCCCTGTTAGAAAGGGTATATAGGGAGCCTTGCGGGGTCTTTCTCCTTGGAGAGGTGACTTCAAAAAAAAATGTGTTTTATCAAGGAAATCCGGGGCATTGAGAACACCAAACGGTGACAACATGGATAGGGTTGTTTTGTTGGATTCCAGTTTTCGGACCACAGCATGATTTCGAAGTGAGCCGAAACTTCTTGTTTTGGCAACGCGACAACTGCTCAAAGAAATGGATCTCAAAACTACAAGCCCTCCCAAATGGCAGCTTTGGCCTCCTCTTAAACCCTGATTGGGTGTCTTGCTTGAGGGTATTTGTTTGTGCCTTGAACGGAAAACCACCAGTAAAACCACTATTGTTTTGTTGGGCCCCCTATATTCAGAGGGTGATTCCCACGTTTGCCAGTGAAGTCATTGAGA